ACCTTCTGGGAACATTATCAGGTGTAAACTTGGGTGTGAATTCATCTGCACCAACATTCAGCTTCGTTGAAGAAAAAGGCTGTTTCTGTCTTTGTGTTTCTCCTGTAGAAATTGGTGTGGAATGGATTCCTGGGGTTTGAGCATGATCTACACCATCAAATGTTTTATCATGATCCTGGTTAGAATTCTGAATATCATCATTTGGTAATGTTTGAATATATTTCTTAACAAGTTCAGTCTTATTTTCTTCCTCAATATTTACTGATTTCTCTACAGCCTGTCCATTAACATTCGGAGAGATTTTATCTGGACTAGCTCCATAAAGAAATGTTTCACTCGATTCAAACTGTTCAAATACCTGTGACTTGGCATTTTCAATATCAAGTTTCTTCTTTAATTCAAGTTTTTAAAAGTTCACTGCGCGTTTTTCTCTTCCCTTTCAACATATTCTAACTGCACACGATATTCCGCTGCCTTCGCTTGAGCTGCCATTCGCGAGTCACGTGACTTTGCCGACTGTCCTGACAAACCACTTATCACTGAAACTTTATCACTCATCATGAATCGTAAAATGTTCTGCTATTCACGAGTTGCTTTCAGAGGTGGTGTTCACTATAGCGGTAGTCCGCTAGGTTTCCAAGCAACTCACGTGCAAAACACAATCTATAAAAGTTCCAATATTTATTCTTCATTTAAAATACAAAGATGTCGCAAACCTTGTCCGTGCACATTCTCTTCACAACTTTGTGAACACCATGGTTCCTCACATCGCAAAAAAATGTCTATCGAAGAAGACATTGCAAAGTTCAATATAACATGTGCTTTCGCAAGGGGGCTCCAAAACAAAGGGAGGCAACCCTCCGCCAATGAGAAAGGTACGCTGAGGTAAACACATCTACTTACAAACATAGACTAGCCTCTGTTAGGAGGATATTAATGTTTTGATTTTAAAATTTGTCATATGTGGATCTTGTAAAAGTTTTCATTCCCACGTGTATCTGTTTACATACAATGACCTCGTGACCATCACATCACTTGTGCATACTACACTATGTTGCTGTGCTTCAAAACTCTGGGTGTTTTGTTTGTTTGTTTGTTTGTTTTTTTTGTTTTTTGGTTTTTGTTGTTTTTTTCTTTCTTTTTTTCTTTCTTTTTTTTCTATGGACTTGCACAGTTAAAAACATGACAGAAAGATATGTTGAGGTAAACAAAGCAGTTCCCAAACGTAGTTTTGACTATTAGGAGAGTATTATTGTTGATTTTTAAAATTAGTCATATGTAGATTAGAACTCTAGTAGAAATTCCTAGGAACATCGAGAACTGTTCAATTTTAGATCACTAAGGCCACACAAGCACGTTCGGCACTCTATTATTGTATTGGTTTATGTTAACAAGGTTATTTTCTTTTTGATTATATGACCCCGTGACTATTATGTGACTTGACCATGCGTCACTCTGTTGCTGTGCTTCAGCGGTTGGTATGTTTCTTCCCTTCTATGGACCTGTACAGTCAAGAACATGACAGAAAGGTACGTTGAGGTAAACAAAGGAATTTCCAAACATAATCTAATCTCTGTTAGGAAAATATTACTCTTTTGATCTGTCATATGCTTTGTATACAGATAGAAAGGTACGGTGAAGTAATCAAAGTTATCTTCTAACATAGTTTCGATTGTGAAAATATTATTACCTTGACTTCTGTCATATGTAGAGTTAAAACTCACAAATCTTAAGGTATTTCAACAATTATTTTGTTTTCAATCACTAAGCTCACATGCTTCAGTACATTATTATTCTATTCGATAAGCTATATCCAATCATAACTTCTGTTAAGAGAATACTATAGTTCTGACTTTTGTGCTGTGTAAAATTAAAGCTCCAAAATCTCACCCGTACATATTTGGTACTTCAGTATTGTACTTGACTATATGTCGACAAATAATTTTTCACTTGATTATATCTTCCGGTGGATGGAAGTGGAAACCTTCTTTGTTTTGCATCTATGTTCATTGTTTTACGTTTAAAAAACATAAACACCATTTCTAATGTAAATAATGCCATTAAGGACAACAACTGCAATAATTACAACTTCAATGGACCTGGATAGGATAAAAATAGTATCAGCTAATTGCAGAGGGTTAGCAGAAAGAAATAAAAGGCAAGAGATTATGAGAATATGGAAAAGAAAGAAATACTCAATTATCTGCCTCCAAGATATACATATTTCAGAAAAAGATAGAGATATTATGAAAAATGAATGGGGGTTAAACTGTATTATTTCCCCATTTAAAACTAACTCAAGAGGTGTAACAATTCTGTTTAATAACAACGTTGAAATCAAGGTTAATAAATCCCTTATTGATGAAAATGGCAATTTCATAATAACTGACATAACAATGGATGGACTGAATATTACCCTAACTAACCTGTATGGCCCAAATAAGGATGAACCTAAATTCTATACTAAATTATTTGATGATATCATGGAATTTGGAAATGAATCAATTATGATATGTGGTGACTGGAATCTGGTGCTTAATCCTTCGGTGGATCTTGAAAACTACAAGAACATAAACAATCCCAATGCAAGAAATACTGTTCTGGAAAAGATTGAAGAATTAGATCTGTTAGACATTTGGAGAGAACAAAACAGTGGATGTAAGAAATTTACATGATGGAAGAGAAACCCTATGCAGCAAGCAAGACTTGATTTTTTCCTAGTCTCTCAGGACTTATTCAATATATCTTAGGAAACTGATATTGTCCCAGGTTATAAGTCAGACCATTCCCCAATTATACTATCATTTTCAAATAAATTAAGTAATGAAAGAGGCCGTGGTTATTGGAAATTTAACACCCCACTCTTACACAACGAAGAATATATAAAATTGTTTGACAATGAAGACAAATCGAACAGCTTTATAAAAGACGGAATGCAGGAATTGATAATATCTGAATCTTTATTTTTACAAACTTTCTTAATGAATTTGAGAGGAAAAACAATTTAATTTTCTACATACATTAAGAAAAATAGAGAAAAAAACAGGAAGGATCTTGAAGAATCAATACAAATTCTTGAAGAAAATATAAGAAGCGACTTTAACAATTTAAATGAAGAATATTTAGCAGAATTAGCTGCTAAGAAAACACGTTTGGAGCATATTAATGAGGAAGATGTAAGAAGAACTTAATTTCTAAAAAGAACAAAATGGTATGAAGAAGGAGAAAAACCCACCAGCTATTTTTGTCACCTGGAAAACAGAAATTTTACCAGTAAGCTTATAGGAAGTGTTATGAAAGATAATGGCGATCTGATAACTGATGGTAGTGGTATTTTAGACGAACTGAAATAATTTTACAGTAATTTGTATGGAGATATTCACCAACATGAGGATCAAAATGATATTGATTTAAGTTCTATTAACACTCCAAAGATAACTAAAAAAGAATTTGAGGATTTGGAAAAACAAATTAGCTTAGAAGAAATAAATAAGGCTGTTTTATCCATGAAGAATGATCAAAGCCCAGGAATTGATGGCTACCCCATTGAATTCTTTAAGTTCTTTTGGAAAGATTTAAGCCCTTGGGTTTATAGATTTATAAAAGAAACCTTTACAAATAATGAATTAACTATTACAATGAACAGGGGAATTATTACTTGTTTACCTAAACCAAATAGAGACAGAAAATTCCTAAAGAACTGGCGACATATTTCATTACTAAATTCCCTTTACAAAATAATAAGCACATGTATTGCAAACAGGTTTAAATCAATATTAGATACAATTGTACATGAAAATCAAACAGGTTTTATACCTGGGAGATGTATGAGTGAAAATATAAGACTTCTATATGATATTGTCTTTGAAACAAGAAGGTTAAATAAACCCGGCCTATTATTACTAATAGATTTTGAAAAAGCCTTTGACACTATCTCCAAAACATTTATAATACAGGTAATGAAAGCGTTTGGGTTTGGGCCCAATATTATCAAATGGATTCAAATTCTAACCGGTAATAATACAGCAGCTGTGATACAAAACGGGCACATCTCTTCCTTTTTCCACCAGGAACGAGGGTGTAGACAGGGAGATCCGGTCTCACCGTATTTATTTATGCTTGCCGTTGAAATATTATGGAAATGAGCAGATTGAATGTGAGTACCCAAAGTGACAACAGTGGGCTGTTATGGGCTTAAGGGTCTTTTCATCGCATTATGGGCACTAATTGCTCCTCCTCAGTGTCAAGCATCAACATGTAGGCCTAGAGATAATTAACAGTGAATAAATCTGAAAACATATTCACGTTATTTTAAAGCTCGAGCTTCATGAGTCCTACTCATGAGAACTTGTGTTAGTGGCAAATAGGTGATTTTTCAAAACCCTGTCAGGAGTAGGCAATATACGAAAATATTTCTGCTGGACGTAAAGCTTCATCATGTAAGTAATTTACCTATTGAGCTCAAAACATGCAAGTGTATTAGACATGCTTATATCATGTTCATTCTTTCAGTTCTACACCTAGATCTACGTATACTATTCCCATGCATTATAAGTTTACTTATTACTACTCTATATGTAATGTCAGCTCATTATATCTGAGTGAGTGAGTTTAGTATTACGCCGCACTCAGCAATATTCCAGCTATATGGAGGTATTTATCCAGTTATACCAGTTCATCTATTTTAGTGTACACATATTTTATTCAAAACCAATTGAACCAGGATTGGTAAACAAGCCGCAATGGCTTATTTGAATACCTGTCTATTCCATTGATACACGAACAAAACAAATAATAAATAGTATGCAGCATGATAGGAAAGCAAGCAACTCATCTATTTTATAACCATTAAAACAATTATTACATATACTTTACACTCATAGCTTTGTGTAATAATTTGTGTAATCAATTATTAAACCTCTTAGCCTTACAATGCATTGACACAATTCACGTATAGAATTTCTAAAATAATCATTTTTTCAATTTACAGATACGTATTGTGGATCCACTGACTTGTTGGAGATTGACAAGAGGCTTGGCTTGGTAATCATTTATAGTTACACCATACCATGCTCCTAATATCATTAAAGGAAATCTTAAAACAATACTTTTTATTCATCAGCATTTAGTCAAAAACAAATAAACACTAAATCGATACATAGAATAAATTTCTTTATCTTTGTGAAAAATATAATCACTCAAAATGTAACAGTGCGTGGATTCCAGTGTAATTATAAGTTGATATGTTTTTCAGTTCCAAGAAAAAAAGACCAGTTTTCTGTCCGCACTGCCAGTCGTTTGTTTCAAGGAAACGAAGAATCCGTCTGGAATGGTCGGCAGTTTCTCACCAGGTTAGTCGTCAAAGATGCTTCACTTCATAGGTTTAACATAACGACTTCAGTTTGATCTGTCCCTTTGTTATCCATCATATATCAATAACGAATATATTTAATTATTGTATATCAGATCTGAAACTGAAAGTGAATAAGTTGTGTTACACATCTTACAGTTTATAAATTAAAGTAAAGGTCACATTAAAAAATAATATTATATGTTATTATATTGCTGTGAATGTTTCCTTAGAGGGTTGATAAATCTAAGAAATACCCACGATTTTTTCATTCATGGGAAATGTTTTGTATGCTTTTCTCAGTTGAACTGGTCATTTCAATTTGAAATGAATAAGATCACATATATAATCAGGTGTTACATTCAGTGTTTAAACATAATTCGTATCTATTTAAAATATGTATGTACCCTCTTACCTATGCTTAGATTTCAATTGGCGATTTGGTAGTAGATGTTACCTTGAATATGAGTACAGTAACAGTAATAAATATTACCACAATTTGCTTCAGAATACTGGGTTGGCTACTATTTTCTGGTACCAATCAATCAAATAAGTGACATGTCCAATGGAAGATACAATATACATGTATACTATAGATCTTTCCTTTGTAATTGTGAAAAAGATCTTTTGGTTACATCTACAAATTAGTCGTTCTAATTTTATAAATTCATTGTTATCAGATGTACCACTGTGCATGTTTTTGAATATGTATACATGAGTTACTTTGGCTGTTTTTGTAGTTTTACTAAGCATTGCATGTATTGTATTTGTAGGATGATGCAGAGTCTGTGTGGGACGATGAGCATGGCAACGATGTTGTGCCAGACATCAACCAGGAAATCTTCATATTCACCCACAGATCTTAAGTAGAGCATACACCATCTGTTTGTGGTTGTGGACTGGTTCAAGCCTTGTTGTAATCAACTTGGTTATATTTCCCCTTGTTCTGTGTTGCAAAACAAATGTCTCATCTCAGGCTTTGTTTCATATGTACCAGATCAGAGGATGGCTGTCTGCTCATTATGAGTGCAATAGAAGCTTCATGATTGTCAGCAAGTTGCCAAGTCTTTACTATGTGAGATTGTTAGTGTGTATATGTTAAGATACATTGAGGCAGCTTCAAATGTACATTTCATGTATATTGGCCCATGACCTTTCATACAATAAACATTTGAATTTGAAATCTGTTTAATAAATACGACAGCAAGTATGTTATGCCTGCACTAGTAGACATCATTTCATCATATGCATAAAATGTTGTAGGGTTTTGACATATTTGTATTTGCATATTCATGCAGAAGTTGTGTTCTCCAATGCTGAAGATGCCCTCTTGATGTGGCTTCTCACCTTCCTACCTACCTACCTACGTACCTACCTACCTACCTACCTACCTACCTACATACATACATACATACATACATACATACATACATACATACATACATACATACATACATACATACATACATACATACATACATACATACATACATACATACATACATACATTCAAAATAATGAAACAGATGAATCATATCAGTGACTGTGTTACTGTGTTTGTTGTTTTTCGTGTACAATGTAATAAATGGTACATTCACAAGTTATGCAGAATGGTAGTGAGTTACAAAGTCACATCGGCAGCCATATCGTGACTAGGAAAGTCGTAAATCTAAATTTGTAAATGTGTACATGAAATAAAAACAAACTTATGTACTTACCTGTCTTCGAAGGACAGTAAAAACTTCGAAGGACAGTCTATCACAAATGTACACTGAAAACTGGCATGTAACCATAAACACTTTAACAGTACAGTATAAAAATGGGCTATAGATTGCAAACACCTGAAGTTTGATCAACATACTAGGGACTACGGGAACGTACAGTACGTTTGCTTCCCGCATGGACCCTAGCTGGATTTTGTATATAGAAATTATCTTGCAAATGTAACAGTAAGTAAATATTGTCCCCCAATGGAACAGCACAAAGCTAAGTTTGCCATTTCATCTAAGCTGAAACCAACAGAAACCTAGCGGAAACCTACATTACCCAGTATCCAATAGGTTTCCGCAATAACGGAAACTAAGTCATTTTGCTATGAATGTTTCAGCGAACTGAAACTAAATGGAAACGCATAATGATAGTTTCAGTTGTAGAAACCTGACGGAAACCTAGATTTGTTAGTTTCAGTTTTGTAAACTATGCGGAAACTCGCATTGTCTGTTTCCGCATACTGAAACCTAGTGGAAACCTACATTACCCGGTATCCATTAGGTTTCCGCAAGAACGGAAACTAAGTTATTTTTGCTGTGTAGGTATTATGATAAGGTCGAATCCTAATATAAAGGGTATAACACTTAATGATACAGAACAGAAACTCGGACAATATGCGGACGATACACAGCTATTTCTAGACGGATCTGAAACAAGTCTCAATGTTGCAATTGAAACACTGAATAAATTCTATCAAATGTCTGGACTCAAAATGAATATAAACAAGACAAAAGCTATCTGGATAGGCTCAATGACAGGTAGTAATATAACTTTAGCCAATGACCCCTATCTTGACTGGCACATTGGAAACTTTGAAATCTTATGAATAACACTTAATGCTTCTCTTAAAGACCTTTGGGTAATTAACACAAGAAAACGCCTAGAAGATATTAATAGATTACTTGCTAGTTGGCGAAGAAGAAACCTGACTCTAATCGGGAAAATGACTGTTATCAAAACTCTACTCTAGTATATACTCTAGCAATTTCTACTCTAGTACATATTTTCTCAGCACTTCCTAACCCGCCAAAAACATTCATCGATGAACTCAATAAAATAATCTATAGATTCATATGGAATAATAAAAATGATAAGATTAAAAGGTCTAATATCAGTAGAACTTACGAAGATGGAGGCCTCAGAATGATTGACATTGAATGTTTTATTAACGCTTCGAAATTGTCATCACTGAAATGTCACTTAAAGAAAACTTCAAATTTTAATAGCATTTTTCCCTTAAATCAACTGTACTTTCTAGGTTCTAATGCTGTTGATTGCTTATCTGGCAAAGATAATCCCTATTGGAGAGATGTTTTATCTGCTTGGAAAATATTTTATAAAAAACACACCTTTGACAGCGATGACTTAGACCAAATCTTAGCTCAGCCACTCTGGTTAAACCATTTCTTTAAATCTTCATACATGATAAGAAATTGGTTTAAGTGCGGTATACATTATGTCAGCGATATTTGTAATGAAAATGGATTTCTCAGTTTTGAAGATGTAAAACAGGGGTACAAAATAAGCGGGACCTTCTTAGACTATCATCATTTGTTAAATAACATTCCAATGAACTGGAGACAACTTGTAGGAAACAGAACTCTCTGCTTAAATCAATTAAACATTAATAGAGTTTACCTAGATATGATCTCACATATTAAAGGTTCAAGGAAATTCTATGATAAATTGATTAAGACCAACAATACCCCTAAAGTACTAGAGTATTGGAAAACTGTCTTTCAGCAGGATATAATGTGGAGTAATGTATTCAGATATTACAGGAAATGCACAAATGATTGTAAGCTGTTAGATTTTCAGTACAGATTTATTTACAGAATAACCTATACAAAGAAAGAACTATTGAAGATGAAGCTAGTTGATAATGAAACTTGTACTTTTTGTAAAAATACCTCAGAAGACATATTGCATGTATTTTTCTACTGTGAATTAGTTAAAAACTTTTGGCGAAAAGTAGAACAATTTCTAAATGCCCACCTCCAGTGTGATGTCATATTTACAAAATTCCCTATCGTGTTTGGAATGTTCTCAAACAATAACATACTAACCATATTATACTTCTTGCCAAAAGATTCATTTATGTTTCAAGTATAAAACAACAAACACTTTCCCTTGAGGGATTTCTTAAGTTATTAAAAGATATATATACAACTGAAAAATATATAGCTAGGAAAAACAATAGCTTAGATCCCTTTATAAGGAAATGGAAACATTTATATACCTTACTATGTGCTAAACATTAAATTCTACATATAATATCAGCTGAGACCTCCAGACCCTACTCACTACAACCATACTATTCAACCTTACCCCTCCAATTTCATATTCCCTCCACAGAAACTTTAATGACATCTTATGTATCTATATAATTGTTGTAACCTCATGATGTTATATTTATATATATGTATACATGCGTGTATGTATGTGCATATGTATGTATATGTATATATGTATGTGTGCGCATGTGTGTATATGTTTGCAATACTGTCTTTTATGTCATATAGAACCTTGCAAAACATTACTGAAGCTATATACATATAAATTTGGATGTTGTCCTCTTTGCCATATGTATTTTATGTGAGACTTGAAATGGAATAAAAAAAAAAATTTAAAAAAAAAAAAACCTCCGCCAATGCCACCCGCACACCTCCGCGGTGTAGTGGTGAGAGCGTCTGCCCGGAGAGCGGAAGGTCGTGGGTTCGATCCCCTACCGCGTCATACCAAAAGACGTTAAAATATGGTACTTGTTGGTCCCTGTCTGGCGCTCGGCATTAATGGTTACAACAAGGACTGGTCCGCTCGGAGTCAGTATAATGTGTCTGAGTGGGGTATTCATGCTTCACTGCGGCGTGGTACCTCAGTGGGCTAGCACCATAAAACTAGCTTTAGTCTGGGCTAGTACATGCAGCCGCATCTACACATACACACGTATGCACGTCGTCATACGAGCGAAATATTCACCAGCGCGACGTTAAACCCAATTTCACCTCACTTCCATTGCACTGATTTTATGTGCGCTTTCCGCCATGATGTGTATTTCACACACGGAATATCAGGGCACCGACCAAGCTTATTGCAACGTATCGATTAACAAGTTGAAAATAAAAAATTATCCGGGAATCGGTCTTTACAGCAGCTAGCTGTGAAACCAACAAACAATGAACCAATTGGATGTAATTAACAATTTATTCTAAAGTTCACAAATTAGCACAAAGATATCAAATGACAGTACAAAGTAGCGTAGCCATACAAATTCAAAGGTAATATAATCCAAGAACAGTGAGTATAGCTATAAAGACAATGATGGTAATATTCACCTCTCCGTAACAGTAATTCAACTGTTAAGAAATTAGGTCTAGGCAGAATATCTTAGGGTAGAGAGTGATCACACAAAATGCTGGCCTTCTTATGAATGGATATCCCCTTATGTACACACAAATAAGATTCTAGAAATTGCTACTACGACACATAAGGTTGTAGTACCCTATAACAGCTTCCAGAACTTTCTGTCTAAATCTAGCACACAACAGCTATAATATTATATACATTTAATTGGGAGTAGGAAAAATAACATAAGGGTATGCATGAGACTGATTAACAACCACCATGGATATTGGTGATTAATACAGTTACAACTGGAAGAAGCCAATTGTACGTGAAGGGTAAATTTGACATTGTTCCTATTGGGTAACATTCTAACCTTTGTTATAGCCATGGTGGAACGTGCCTGTTCATTATGTTCTGTTGTGTACAACGTCTATGTAAAGGATATGTTTGTGAATTGTAAATATGGCATTTTTCCTATCCCGTAACATTCTAAGGTTTACTGTTATATTCCTGTTCATTATGTTCTGTTGTATATAACGTCTATTTAAAGGATATGTTTGTGAATTGTAAATATGGCATGTTTCCTATCCCGTAACATTCTAACGTTTACTGTTATATTCCTGTTCATCATGTTCTGTCGTTTTCATATAAATTGTGTGGGATAAATGTAACGTGAATTTGCTTCATATTGATATATTATTATTATTTTTACATTAACACACAGCCATGTTTAATGCTTAAGTGTGTAATGTTGGCTGCTTGAATAAACGTTTCATCCTGTACTCTGTCTTCCATCGTAATCGAGGGGAGAGAGACTTTGAGATAATGTTCAGATCATGCCACTCAGTGTGAGTGACTGTCAGGTGGGTGTGTTAACACGATTTTAACTGTATTGTATTTTTTTCCGCGTTATTACTCAGTGTTTGAGTAAAGGCCAAAGTGATGCAGGTTTCAGACGTGTACCACTAGGGTGAAAGGGCACAAGGACTGACTGACTGACTGAGTTTGGTTTTACGCCGCTTTTAACAATATTCCAGCAACATAACGGCGGGGAACACCAGAAATGGGCTTCACACATTGTACCCATGTGGGGATTCGAACCCGGGTCTTCGGCGTGACGAGCAAACGCTTTAACCACTAGGCTACCCCACCGCCCGAAAGGCACAAGGAAGGGTATAATGCTGACAAACCAAGAAGCAGTCAGGGCTAACTGGGATTCGGACCCCAAAATGTAGGTTTCTTCGACGCCCAAGGGACTGAAACGTTCCCCGTACCCCCTCGTTTTTACGTGGTTATAACAAGGGTTCAATGCTTTCATTTAGACAGCTATTTGGATTTTCAGCTTAAAGACATGTTATTTTATAACTGCTGTTGCAATACTATATGTTGTATCATGCTTCTGGATGTGCTCTGAACGTGATGCTTGGGTTTGTTGTCTGCTGTTGTATAGCTGTGATGAAGAATTTGAGTTGGTTAAAACAATACCAGCTAAAATGACATCCGTTGATCTAGTGAAAAATCCAGTGATTAGGACTAGGGGCGATGTACTAGTTGCTTGGATATGTGCGCTATATAAATATCCTATAATAATAAATAATTTGTAACAGAGCAGGAGTTGAGTTGAACCCTACTTTTTATCCTGGAATGGGGCCAACTTTTCTGAGGCGTCCCAATTTGCTGGTCAGTTGTGATATATACCAAGGCCAAATGTCGGGTTTCGCTCAGACTATGAACTTCCGGTTGTCGACACCATATAAGTTAAACGATTTTTGCGACCTTTGGTAATAGATTTCTTGCAATTATTGAAACGTTCTTTTCGCTGTTTGTAGTCACCACTTTCAGTTACAAATGCCAGATCAAGGGCGGATACAGCTTTTTGAGAAAAGGAGGGATGCACACTTCAATTTCACCCGAGTTTCAATTGTCATTTAACAAACTTTTAGCACAAAAGGGTGGGGTGGGGGTTGCGCACTCCAGCAATACCACGGCGGGGGACAGCAGAAATGGGCTTCGAACCCGGGTTTTCGGTGTGACGAGCGAACGGTTTAACCACTAGGCTACCTTAACGTCCCTCATAAAGAAAAGTGCATCGTATAGCTGATATGAGTGTTGAATGTAAATCTCTTTCCTAAATCAACAGTCAAATAGGTGTGTTAATGGCTGTAATTTGATATACATTCTTAAACAAATAGGACTTGGGGCGGTGGGATGACCTAGTGGTTTAAGCATTTAAGCAGTATTGGCAATACTACAGCAATATCACCAGACAATTGACTTCACACATTGCATCATTAAGGATATATGTATATATGTGTATATAATATTATCAACAATGTGTACATACATCATACAAGTCAGCTGTTGAAATATCTTCGTACAGCATGTAGCGTTACCTAATATAGCAGGTATTATTACTATAGCTGGCAGTGATAACATTATGTTTATTAATGTCTCATACATTATTACATTTCATGAACACTACTTCGCATCATTTACATTTACATTTACATTGGAGAGGAGGTGTTACAGGTGAGTAATAAATATCTCAACACTCACCATTCACTTAGAAGTACATACCTTATGGCTGACCCCAGGATTCAGATTATGCAGACGCGTTGACTTCGCACAACATATCATCATGAAACATAGTGAAAGGCGCTCAGATGTATGCTGGTGTAGAGAAGTATTTCACTGACTAAGTTGTAACATGACCCCTGAACCTGTACTATAACGAACCACGTCATCTTCAACTTTCACTTTTCTCTAATAGCTGCTCCTGTAACAATGAAGTTCCATGTACTTTGACACGTATCCATGTTGCGTTCGAGTGTTTCGTACGTCCTCATTCGTGACCAACTCGTGTTATTGCGGGACATGCCGAATAGCGACCCGTGCCCCTCTTGAAGGATTTCATATTGGCGCATGAACATCAGAACTACTTTAAACAAGAACGATAACTCTATCCCTGTTTGATTCTAATGTTTCTAAAAATCACCGAAGCACATCTACATTGCATTGCTAGGTTGTTGTTTTGGGGGTTTTGTTACTTATTTATTTTAAAGAATTAAACCTCTTTGATACAACTAAAAGAAGGAGAAAAACATATATGTTAAAGACATATTCTAATGTAATTATGACCAGCTGTTCACCTTATATTTCTAATTATGTTAATTTTCTTAATAGGGTTTAATCATCACAAATGGAAATTGTCTTATTGAATATTCCATTAAAATAATATTTTTTTCATCTACATTAAATCCCAAAGCAGATACTCAAAAATGACTTGAAAATATTTCTCAAACTGAACATTCATGTGACCTTGCTGTCACAACCCTGGTGGAATTTTAAATGAATTTGCTGAAAAAAAATATGAATGACCAAAAAACAGTCAGACTAAAATATCCCCAGAGCTATGAAATATAAGCCCAATATTAAAGATTAAGGTTGATTAGTTACATATAAATACGATATTGTTGTTTTGAAACTCGTAGCGATTATAATTACATTTCCTAAAATTGGTCGAAGCGCACGTACAATCTCCATAACAAGCCCGCAAGATCGTCAGAAATACACTCAGTTGGACCCACGAGAGCAGTTATGTCAACAAACGCACGGAAAGGGGCGAGTGGTGACGAATGGTACGTCCCGAGTAACATAATCTAGATTGTGAAAATTGCGGATTTGAATTATACAGTTTACAGTAATGATAGCTATGGCAAGTACTGGGCCTTCCTGGTTGTTATTGGATTGTAAACCCATAAAGATAACAATCTAAAAGTCAGAATATTTTCCCTCTCGTTAATTCATTTCCTCAATGGGTGATAAACAAGGCAATGTTGAGGAAACAAACCCACGTTGACTATTGCACATACTGAATCAGTAGCTGTCCACATTGTACATGAGTTTGTGGAGGTTAATTTTCTAATTACTATTTCCTAATTTACTATCTAACTTTATATTTATCTGTCTTGATTATCACATGAGTAATTAATCTGAGTACATCTAGGAATCCCAAATCTCAGACCAGTTCCCAATCTTGGAATAGTGTGAGATTAATGTATCAAACATGTTATATGAGTGATAATGGGGATTGCTATAACTATGGAATACTGTAAGGGACATTCTCGCGGTCTTGCATTTTCGCCATCTCGACCTTTGGAAACAAGCTAAAAATGCCAAAAGTGCGAGAATGCGAGATCGCGAGATTTGGCCAAAATCTCGCGTTCTCGCGATCTCGCATTTTCGTGTTTTTGGTACATAGCACATTTTGTCAAAAGTCGACAACGCGAGAATGCGACATTTGTACATGCTGTCAAATCTCGCAATATTGCAATCTCGACTTGTCAAATAAGGCCACAAAAACACGAAATCGCGAGAAAGCGAAAATGCAACATTTCATTTTCTCGCGTTTTAAACGCCGTCGTTGCGCATGCGTAATATCACAAGGTCAAGGCGCACGCGCATCTTAGTAGTGCTATGGTCATGCTTCCTCCATGCTTTTCAGTTCCCAAGTAGCATTTAGCAAACTTAACACATTGCTTGAGAATGCTATGTAATTTACATACACGATGTGTAGGGTAGTGTATGTAAGTCCGCTCCCGTTGTTACAATTTCCTATGTACTTAAAACTTCTCAACGTGTTAAATTTTATTTAACAAACGAAATTGTGAACATAAATGTCCAATAAAAGTGAAAACATGAAAGTGTCCGGAAGCTGTAAAAAATATTAACGTCAGTGAGTGATAAAGCCGCAACAATTCGCAGCTACACCGTCAGTTATAGAAATAATCACACACCAGTGAGTTTCTCCATGATGCGATATCATATACGGCTAGCATATTCATTAAAACAAAATTCTAACCGACCAATTTGTAGCAGTCGGCTAAAATGAGCGTGTCTGATGTTTTCCTCGACACCATATTCGCTAGTTTAGGACATAAATATTAATTAATAGATTTTCTTCCGCTCCCGCCTGACTACAAAACACTTTGTCTTACATGATTCTTTCGTCTCCAAGTCCCCAAAAATAGAAATGCATTTGTACCAATAATATTTGTGTTCCTGTGACAGCCATGATATTGTGACAGCTGTGTTGCTGTCTTACTTGAGAACACATAAACCTCAACCCGTTTTGGGGAGTTAAACATTCTTCTTTATTGGCAGTGAGTGTTACATGGCGTCAAATTCACCACGAGACTGGCCGGAGTTTTCTCCCTTTTCATCATTAAAAACGGACAAGTAACATACTTAACCGAGCAAAACCTGTGTATTCTAGTAAGAAATACACATGACGGGTTGACATATCCGTCACATCACCCTCCCCCTAAAGAAAGGTTTTGTGAGTAACAAAATTTTGATAATAAATGGTAAGTATGATACCAATCTAACAACAGTGCAGGGCCCTGGCACCACTGTGAGATAAGTAGGATACATAAATGGATCAAACATGCTGAATTACCGATGAAATGTTTTGAAATATTTAACTGAATGCAATATATTTATGAAATTTCCTTTACGAAGAATATGTGATATATGTAATAAACTAAACTACATGTTTGAAGTAAAACTGCAAGTATGCATAAAAATGCAAAGTCAAAGTGATTAATACTGAATATTGAATAATAATAATAACAATAATACTGAATAATAATACTATTAAAAGGAGTAATACCATGTACTAAAATCCTGAGATAGTGTTTCGTTTCAAAGGAATCAAATTGACTAGACACATAATATACCAAAATGTAGAACATACACTGTATAAGTAACCAGAATCATGATAGATGCATAGGTGACTAACAGAGTATAACATAATAAAATATTCACCAAAATTGTTCACAACTGCAGTTTTTCACAAGGTTTCAATATGTTCATGGTTAGTCCCTGTGGTCCAAGAAAACAAAATACAACGCTGATTTTGGTATTTGTTTGTACCATCATATTCGTCTTAAAGTCATAGACTTTTGAGAAAAAAGATTTCACATATTCAAAATACCATTCATTAGCTTTGTGTTTCGGGTAGGGAAAACCAATTCATCATTACTCATGTGTTTATAATTCTTTTTTCTGTTCCTTTTCAACACGAGAATTATTAAAACATGAATATACCTTTAAATTCACACTTCAGTATTTTCTTGCAAACTAATGTTGCAATGACAACATTTGAACTAGCATGATAAACAACAACAATTGAATAAGATAACACAATAATTGAACTAACACTAGTAATTTTGAATGAACTACTAAAGTAACACTACAAATGGTTTCTCGGGTTAACAGTTAATGATTAATTCGCCACTTCATACACATGTCTGTTCACATCACTGAAATAACTTCACAAATGATTATTTAGTTCAGAGTTCAGTATTACTGCTTACGCTGGCTTCTTTTATCTGTTCTCAACTGAGAATGTATGGAATCCACCATTTTCTGACAATCAGGAGAAAGATCACTGTATGAAATCCAAGAGTTGTAGGATTGGACAAATGATAACCATTTGACGCGATAATACCATTGTCCATGTTGATATTTGTTGGAGATGATTTTTTCTATCGCATAGTACTTTGGATTGTCAGAAGTGTCCTGGGCACTCTTGGTTGTTTGTGGAGTGTCACACGCAGTTTGACTATCCTTGTCAGTGATTACACAATGCCATTTAGAAAGTGGTGAAATGTCACAAATGTTATATTTGGGATTACACTTTCTTAGTAAAGTACAAATTCTAGTACTTTTTTACTTCACAAAAATGGAAGTCGGACAACTGGTAGTCTAGACTGCGGGCTTTGTGTACCCCTCTCATAAGTGTTAATTGGCACGGCTCCCACGTCCGAAAGCTATGATTACACAATGCCATTTAGAAAGTGGTGAAATGTCACAAATGTTATATTTGGGATTACACCTTCTTAGTAAAGTACAAATTCTAGTACTTTTTAAGTTGAGCCCCATCCGGGATTCCGGGTCGCGGTAGCTGAGTGGGTTAGGCGGCTGAATTTGTGTGCTGGCGATTAGGTGCCGGACTCTGAGGGTGTGAGTTCGAATCCTGGATGGGGCTCAACTTAAAAAGTATATCCAGTTGTCGCTACTTGAGGAATTCCTTTCACAAGACGTTCAGGGTTTTCCTGTCGTGCTTCCAGTACATTGACATGTACCTCATATGTTGCAGCTTGTTTGATTTCCTGCAATGGTTGTTTTTGAATCATGGGCGAGTCTAATGTGTTATCAGGAACGTCACAGGTAAGGATAGAGTGATCACCTTCCTCATTCTCCAGGGATTCTTCGGCATATGAATATGTTCGTCTTGAGATGGCGTCAGCCTTGCCATGCATTACTCCTGGTCGCACAACAACAGTCATATCGAAAGCCATAAGGTATGTTACCCATCGCGCAATGCGACCGGTTGGTTCTTTCACAGACAATAACCACTTTAACGCTGAGTGGTCAACTACCACTGTGAATTGAGCATGTCGAAGCAGATAATCAAAATGCTTTACTGCAAAAATAACGGCTAAACATTCCTTTTCTGTGATAGTGTAGTTTCGCTCAGGTTTGTTCATAGACCTGCCCGCATATGCAATGACTCTTTCCACTCCCTGCTGTTCTTGACACAGAACTGATCCAACGGAAAAGGAACTGGCATCTGTGTATAATACAAAGGGGGCATTGTAGTCTGGATATGCAATTACAGGTGCTCTCATGAGGTTCTGCTTGAGACTTTCAAATGATGTTTGACACTCTGTAGTCCAGGTGAATGGTGTATCTTTCTTAGTCAACTGGTTCAAAGGATGAGCAAGTTTTGCATAATCACCAATGAATTTTCTGTAATAACCGCTGAGGCCTAAGAATGTCCGAAGATCTTTCAAGGTAGTTGGCTGAGGGTAGTCATGAATAGCAGCTAGCTTGTCAGGGTCTGGAGCGATGCCTTGTGGAGTGACGATATGGCCAAGATACTGTATTTTATTATGACCAAAGAAGCATTTTGATTGAGACAGTTTCAGGTTTGCAGTTCGCAATCTTTCTAAAACCTCTCTGATATGAGTCATGTGTTGAGCAAAGTCTTTTGAGAAGATGATGACGTCATCTAAATAGATAAGGCATGATTTCCATGTCAAGCCTTTCAATGCTGTTTCCATCACTCTCTGAAATAAGGCAGGAGAGTTCTTGAGCCCCATAGGAAGCCTTCGAAACTGGAATAGTCCAAGATGACAGTAAAGGCAGTATACTCCTTGGATTTAGAGTCGATCATGAGCTGGTAAAACCCACTTTGTAAGTCTAAGGTGGTAAAGAACTTGGGTTGTGCATGACCAAGACTTTCAAGGCACTCATCGGTGGTTGGCAAAAGATGGGCTAATAGCTCTGTGACAGAGTTCAAATTCCTGTAGTCGACAACAAATCTGTATTGGTTCTTCTGTTTCTTTGTCACAAGAAAACATGGACTTGCCCAAGGACTCACTGAATCTTCAATAATTTCATGATCCTTCAAATCATTGATGCATGTATGATCGTGATCTAATTGGAGCTTGCTCCTGCTTCACTCTAATTTTATGGGTAATAATGTCCCATGATCCAACTTTACCATGAAGAGCAAACACATCCGAGTATTCATCAATCAAAGATGTGAGGTCCTGTTGTTGATGTTCGGTTATCTCACTGTTGTCTGGAGGAAGATTGACGAACTGAGAAGCTTTATCTGAACCTTTATCACGATGAGAGATAGGTATAGTTTCATTCGCAACTCTGTTTACACTAAGCGTTTGTTCATCCACACCTTCTTCTCCAAGGTAGTACAAACTGTCATCCTTGCTGAGACACACAAACTTTCCTATATAAGTTCCCTTTGAAATCCCAACTGGTTCATCAGACAAGTTCACTAGGCGCTGATATACATGATTGTCATGTACATGACATAACACTTT